TGCTTTAAACCTACCTCCTACCCTCCCTCCCTCCCTCCCTCCCTCTCTCTCTCCAGGCGGATGCCCTCGCCTCCCTTCCCGCCTGGGCCGGGCGAGATCGGCCTCCGGTTGATTTGGAGAAGCTTTGGCCGCATTATCGTGGGATCGTGGCGAAATACCTGCCAGAGAAATTGGTATGGTAGTTTTTCCCATTTTCCCTCCCTCTTTCCTCCCCTTCCTCCCCCCTTCATAACTATGATTCCTGCTGCTAAAGGACCTGAGCTGACGGAGATGGAAGATCTTCTGCATCTTTTTCCGTGTCACACGTCTTATTTCGTGTGGAGTGACAGGGTGGTGAGGTCGTGACTTGGAATACATAGCGGGGGCGGATGTGTTGATGAAAGAAGAAGGAAAAGCGAGAACCAGATGAGGAGTGAAAGAGATCGCGCGGGCAACTTTTTACGAGAGACAGAGAAGGCGAGGCGTCGACAGGGACCAAAAAGGAATGAGCACCGTGGTGTGGTTTGGAAAAAAAGAAAATCGATTTTTTAAAGAATGAAGAGGAGGGGATATTTCAAGGAAGGAGGGCAAAGGACCTAGATGAACGGAAAATCATGCGATCCACCTCGTTTACAATCATACGTCATGCGGTCTGTCTGAATCTGATTGAACCAGAGCTGAATAAGAAGATATAGGTGTGTTTCTACGGCATGCGACAATAGCGTCAGATGAGAACTGATCTCGCAGAAGAGGCGAGGAATGCAATGTACATAGAAAGGATAGCTTAAGAGTTTAAAGAGGGGTCGCAAATATGGAAGAATGATTGCAGTGTTTCAAAAAAGGAAACACAGGCGATATATGTGGAGGGAGAAAATTTCAGAGCAGGGATGACGAGGAAGGCCTGTCACTTGTAAGGCAATGTACGCATATTTAAAACCTTAAACAAATTAATAAATATCTACACCTGAGTTAAAGCTGTAGGCTGTTAACAAGCATGTGAATTAAATTTGCAGTTGGTCCACGTGTAAATTTGTCAGACCTCTGTTGTGGTATCGGACTTTTCACTGCGCCCGTCAGGATGGTGTGCGTATATCCCGACGGAATCTTCTACTCAAATGGGGCCCCAGAAAGGGATGACGAGGTGATCATGGTACATGCCCATCAGTCTAGTACGAGCTCTATTAGGCATATGTAAGGGAGAACCACCGACAAGAACGGGGGACATAGCAATTGTATCACTGGTCCAAGTCGTTCTGACGCTACAAAACCTTAACCTTAAACCTGAACCCTGACCTTCGACAGAAAAGCCCGACACCACCCTCCACATACCCAATGGCCTTAGTCAGCAATGGTGGCCCTTTGGTAGTCGACGAGACACGAACACTTGGTGCCTGTAATGTCCTGATAGACTCAATAGTCGTGGATCTGTGTTGTCGTTTTGCGAGCGAGAGGACTTGAAGCAATGGTGTGTGCAACAATCAGCTTCAAAAAATTCCGATCCCCATGCCAGAGACCGAACATGCGTCGTCGGCCTCAGGCGCAGAGTCGCAGTGTCGCCCCCCCCAAAGGTGAAATGAGGCGCTCTTCGACAGAGAAAGAGCACACCATCATAAATCACTCTTTGATGACCAGGTGGTATATTGTGAAAAAGACGACCTATCATGCAAAAAAAAAGTGCGGCCCGCATACTTCCTCATGCTGTCCGTCTCGTATAGTCTGCCCACCGGGGTTTTTTTGGCGTGTGATGTAGGAAGGACGACACAGTGGCTTGCTTACTTTTCATTAAATTGACCTTATGACTAGAATTTAATATGGATAAACGTATCTATGTGGGAATTAGCTGTGTATAGATGAGTTACATGTCTCAATCAAGGCCTTTGGGACCTTGCCTCGAAGCGCCTCCGTCCTGACACGAAGCGTCCACCACTCCCATACAACTCGGGCTATCCTAGCCTGCACTAAAGGTAGTTTCACGTGCTAAAGGGTTGAATATATTTAAAAAAAGGAATGGCATACCTGCTTCTTTTGCCGGACCCGTTTTGTCCTTTCTCACCTTCACCCTTCCTCCCCCTCTTTCCTCTTACTCGCGTCCCGGACGCCCAGACCCAAGACACTCTGAAGACGGCATGGGATGGTGTCCAATCCATAGATGTGTTTTCCGGAGGGATCTACCCGCCCTTTGTCAAATCCTTTCGGAAACACCTCGCGTTCCACCCTCCGCAGCCACCTCCTCGCTCTCCTTCCCCTCGTCGTATGTCCTTCCCTCCCCCACCACCCTCCGGCTTCCTACCTCCTTCATCGACGAGCCCAGCGCCTTCAATTGCACTGCCTTGATGCTGGCCGTGGGCGAGGGGCTGGGTGCGATGGCGATGATCCTGGTGGCCCACGGCGCGGACGTCAACCTCCGCGACGACAACGGACTAAGTGCCCTCTATCTCGGGTGCATGCGAGGTGATGATAGCTTTCACCCTTTCCCATCTGCCTATGCCTAAGAACTTCTTCTAGATCGTGACCTTCATGAGCTTAGCCATCTTCTTTATTCCCCTCTTAGGTCATGCCTCGATCGTTTCCTTCCTTCTCTACAAGGGTGCCGACCCCACGGTCACGTCGCAGAGGGACAACACTTCCTGCTTGCACATCGCGGTCCTCCACCACTACGCCCACTGCGTCCATGCCCTCCTTCACGGCCTTCCACCCGACCTCCGTCAAGCCCTCCTTCAGCACAGGGACGCATTTGATCACACCGCGTTAGACTACGCCGTTGGTGGGTGCATCCATCAGAATTTTTAAAAATTGTATGCTTATGTCTTACGTAACGTCGTTCTTCTTCGGCCTGAGTTTGCTGCTTCTTGCATCTCTCCGTGCTTCACACTTTGTGTTCCCCTCACCCTCCTTCCTCGCTTCTTCCTCCTCGCCCGTTCTGGACTCCCCCCCTCCTCTTCTTTTATCCTATTATCCTATTCGCCCCTTTCGTTGTCCCTCTGCCCTGCGCATGGATTCGATCGTTACTAAGCTCACGCACAAAATATCTTTTCCGGCCCATCCTCCCCCCTTCCCTCCTGCCTTTCTCTTCTCCCTCTCGCTTCCTCTTGCAGAAGGGAGGGACACCCGCATCGTCAAAATCCTCCTCTCGGCAGGTGCCGATCCCTACGCTCCGGGACCGTCTGGACGGAGTGTGGTTGAACAAGCGAAGGCGGAGGAAGACAAGTAGAGGGACGAGGAGGAGGAGGAGGAGGAGGAGGAGGAGAAGGAGGAAGAAGAAGACGAGGAGGAAGAAGAGGAGGGGAACAAGGAAAAGGACTTTGAAGGGATAAAGGAAAGGGTTGTGGAGGTGTTGACTGAGTGTGAAAGAGTCAGAATGCTGATCAAAGCCCGTGTTTTAGAAGACGAGGTGTGGGCGCTTGTGAGGAGGGAGGAGAAGGAGGAAGAAGGCCAGGAAGAGAAGAATGCCGAGGACGTTAAGGAATTTTCACATTTTCGGAGAACGGTAGGAATGAAGAAGGAAGGGAGAGAGACGGTGAGGATGAGGCAAGTCCCGCTGTTTTTGCGAACCAGAATTGAGAATCTGAGTAAATCGACATTGAGGAAGCGGAAGAGGGGGAGAGGAAGGAAAGACTGGTCGAAGCATTTACGTCGTCGATTGCCCCGAGTGGTCATTGGGGGTGATATTGAGGGCAACACAAAGTGGCATGGGGAGGGAGAGATGGCAAAGAGGACAAAGAGCACGGAGGAGAAGGAGGAGAAGGTCAAGCTCTATGACGAGGGCGCCGTGAAGACTAAGGACGAGAACGGGGAGGAGGGTCAGGAGGACGGGGAGACAGAGAGTGAGAAGGTGGTGGCGGCGTTGCGTGCAGCCGTGCAGGGAAACATGATGACGGAGGTGGTGTTCAAGGAACTGGTATCCTACATGAGGTGTGCGTGGGACCCGGTCTTGTCTGAGGAGGCCTGGGCCCGAGGTTGGCTGTGAGAGGGTCTGTGAGGTGGGGGGTTGTCGAATCTGTCGCCGAAGGATAAGGTGTGTATGCCTGCGAGGGACGAAGGGGCAGTCTACATGTTGAGCAGGAGCAAACAGCCATCGGGCTATGGTTCAAAATGATGAAGGGAGAAGCGTTCCCATTCCGTAATGGAAAAGGCTTGGAGAAAAGAGGGACGGACGCTGAATAAGCTTCTGTACATGAACGCACGGAGTATTTTGTGCTCCAATCTGTCCTAGGTTGGCGAAAAGAAGGGCGGGAGGGCAGCGCATGCCTCCAAGCGAGGGAGGCTGGGGGAGGGAAAGAGGGATACACGAAAATTGACAAGGACAAGCAGCAGGAGAGAAAGTCATTTACATATTCGGTGGATGTTGTGGGCCGAAAGACGTGTCAGCATCCCCTGCGGAGACCCCTAGAGCTGGAGGATTGGCGTTTTTCGTAGGTTGTGGTCACATTGAATTCAAGCAATACCTTTGGCGATAGACAGCATCGAAATCAAGAAGTACACTTGGCATTAGACAGCATCCAGCATGGAAGTAGGACAAAGAACATGTGAAAATGGCGATCGTGATAAAATCGGACACAATGTGCGCGTGAAATGAGGGATTTAATGTGGGGGGGTGACTAGACTGGAAAATTTGAGAATCTACATGGCTGCATGGCGATCAAACGGAAATAGTATTGTGTAGACCCTGAAACGAAATCTTGGCTTAAAATGTTATTCTGAGAAAAAATGGAAAAAATAATTAAAAAAATATTCATCCTTCATATCGGGTGCACATGGATTCGATCTATTCTTGACGCGACGACTTTGCTGTTGCCTTGGCGATTGCCATATGTTTTTTGTGTTATCTTCAAAACACGTTACTGACTCCTTGGTTCCAGCCGCCCCTTTCTTTCCATATCACACCTCTCCTCAGAGGCCACGATGATAATTTGAGGCACTGAGAACTTACATTCCGCGACACGTTCCCTCAATCGTCGCTCTCCCTTTCTCCCCATCTCCTCCCTCCCTTATTCCCTTCCTCCGCCCCTCCTCCTCCTCGTCCTCCCTTCCGCCACACTTGCCGAGCCGGGCGTCGACGGTGCGAGCGTCTCGAATTTCTCTTTCGCCCCCCTCCTCCTTCCTGCTCCCCCTCCCTCCCGCCCCACCAACGCCTCCCACGACTCCAGCCACAAGCACACCGGCACCACGGCCCAGGGCGCATTCATGCCCACCACCAAGAAGTAGAACAGGAAAGGGTCCGAGGTCAAGTGACCCTTCCATCCCTCCTTCGAGAAGAAAGGGTGGAGGATGAACCAGACAAGACCATAAATCTGGGAGGAAGGAAGGAAGGGAGGGAGGGAGGGAGGTAGGGATTCAAGGA